CCAGTGTGCAGGTGAGATCCTGGAAGGCTTCCTGGAGGAGTCCTTGGGCAGCTCCATAAAGGCTGGGTCAGATTTGGACAGGGAATACGAAAGAGGAGACTCTGTGGCAGAGGTCAGGGAAATCTAATATTTGAGATCATGTGGATACTGGCTTCTCTCACTGCTTTCAATGACTTCCTTCTGGTGAGGTTGCTGGAATCCACCCTTGCAGTGTTTGACAGATCCATTTAGTGATTAAGAAATCAGTTAAGGACCAGCATTACAAGGCTGTTAATGACTTGCACTTAACCCTGAGATCTCAAAGTTAAAGGATGTGTCAGAAGATCTGGGAGACCCAGGTCTATCCAGCGCCACCATCAAATTGCAGAAGGAGCCTGAGAACACCCCTTACCTTCCCTGGCCACCTTCCTCTGGATGGATTTTATAGACACACTGTTGAGTGAAAGAATCCAGACATTCAAAAGTCCATGCTAGGGGGGAGGGTATAGCTCAGTGGCAGAGTGCATACATACGCAGCATACAGGAGGTCCTGGGTTCAATCCCCGGTACCTCCATCAAAATAAATAAATCAATAAATAAACTGAATTACCCCCCCCCAAAAAAAACCCAAAAAACCAACAAACAAAAAGTCCATGCTATAGGATTCTATTTATACAAAGTTCAAAACTAGCCAAGAGAGCTCCATGGTAGAAAAAGTCAGGATACTGTGCACCCTGGCGTGAGAAGGGCAGTGACCAAGATAAGGCACATTGGGGGGGGTGGGCAGGTCAAGTTCTGTTTCTTCGTCAGCTTCCCGGTTACACAGGTGTGTGTATTTTGTGGCAATTCATTGAGCTGTTCACTTAAGGCTTGCACACTTTTCTCTAGGTAATTTCTTTTTTGATGAAAAACGTATTTTTTTAAAAAAAAGTGGAAAATTTGCCTGCCACTGGCTCTTCTCCAGCTGACGAGTTTTGACAGCTTCCCTGGACTTCTCAGACTGCTAAGTGAGATGAAAAGATGACTCTTCTCCATGGCGGACGAAGACACTGGTTTTGCTTACATTTTTTTTTCTACAAGGAAATGTTAAATTTAATTCTGGACAGCCTATTTGTTTTTCTAAATTAACCACTGCCAGGAAAACAGACTGTGGGTGCCGAAGGGTGTGTGTGTGTGTGTGTGCGCTATTCAAATGCCTTCACCCCTCGCTTGTCTTCCAGACGTTGCTAAGACAGATGAGAAAAGGAGTATCTGATCCACTTTACTCAATACTGCTATAAACGCTGCTTTTTGGATCCTGGGCCAGCCAAGGCCACGCCCAGAGTCACCGCTCAGCCTCACTCCTGGTCAGTCACAGGGCCTAGTTAGCTAATATTCAAGCAGCTTGTCCCCCTGCCGCCACATTACGACAGCACAGTCCCATTCTGGAGGTCCCCATATTGTGATGGTCCACTCTGACCTCTGTCCCCAACCTGGGAGATACCTTATAACTCACTCTGCCATCTAAATTATTTCTTTAATAGCTGCAACTTTAAAAATTGGGCCAAAGAGCCAAAGTCCTTGGTTCTCATCCTCAAGCCTGTGTACTGTCTCCCGGAGTCTCTTCCTCTGCCCCACCTCTGAACGCTGCTGGCATGTCCCTGTCAGTGGCCGTGGAAACTTCCTCAGCTGGCTGTTCCTTCTGTCTTCACTGGACTGTGGAGCTCAGCCCCCCTGGTGACTCAGCTCTGGTCCAGACTGACTGCGTCTTCCCGCAGGCTCCCTCCGCCACCGCTGGGAGCAGAGGTGCCTTCCTGCAGCCTGGGCCCTCAGGCTACTAACTCCGCTGGGCCAACAGCTCCTTCCAGTAGAAATGGCAAAGCCAGAGCACGGTCACCACCCATGCCCGCTCCCACGTCCTGGGGAGACATAAGCAACCGACTGAGACATTACTTCTCACTGAGCCTCGAGAAAGCCTTAGTCTAGTACACCAAACAGGCCCTGCCCATCAATAAAGATGGAAATACTTCTGCCATCCCCACCATTTCATGTTGCTGCAGACATGGTGTTCTCTGAATTTGGCATTAGCATAGTAAGACCCACTTCTCTGAGGGGAACCGAGCTACATAAAAATGTGTGGTGGACTCTTATCACTCCATCAGCTGTTTATTATATGCTCAGCATGGTGCCAGGGAAGCTAGGGGTGTGACAAAGGATCATAAATCCTTCCTTTAAGCTGCTCTTGACGTACCCGGGGAGGCAGACTGTATGCACACACCAAGATGTTCATAAGGGACAGCGAGGCTCCTAGGGGACGCCCCACCGTGGGGGGACTGAGAAGAGGGGACAGAGCAGGCTAAGGTAGGGGGCACATGACCCGTGAGAGCTGGTCCCTGAGCAAATGAGTCTGGGGACTCAGGGGACATGCATTTGGGAGGTAGAGGCCATTGACCAGTGGGCACCATTCTCAGGCAGAAGAGTGAGCTTGTTTGGAATGAGAACCACCCATCATCCTAAAAATGGGCCATGATCCTCAAAGTTGGGCGTAGGCGTGGGTGACCACTGAGGGAGGAGCATCTGAAGTCCAGACTGCTTTCTCTTTTCTCCCAAGGGGACACCAAGCTTGCTGCGGGAGGGAGTGGGAGGGAGGGAGGGAGGGACGGAGGGAGGCAGGGCAGGCTGGCAGGACTCACCCCTGCGCTGCAGTCAGAGAACATGGCACGTGGGGAGGAAGATATGGTCCTGGTTGCTCAGGCTGGGGCAGTGAGATGAAGTGGAAACAGACAAATGGTTTCCAACAAGGAAAACCATGCAGGCTCAGGGGGCTGGGGGAAATGTGCATGGAGGGGTGAGGTTTGGGGTCAAAATGGAACGAATGTGGACTCAGGAGGAACGGAGAAGCTATGATGGTAGAGCATCCTGGTGTAGAGGAGCCTCTGAGACCTAGCTCAGGAAGGTCCAGGAAATCCTGCTGTCAGTGGACAGGGCCACATGCCTTAGCCCTCTCGCTCTCACTTGTTTCTCTGACATTAAAAACACAGTTTCAGTGAATCACCCACATTCTAGCTCATTTCCTATCTCCCGGTTCTAGACGTTTCCAGGAGGAGAGCTAACCTGGCGCCAAATAGCAACTTCTCCTGGTGTGCATGACTCATTGGAAACAGTGTCTCTTGGACTATTAAAAGAATAGGGGAGGGTGGGTTGAAGACACTTGGGTTCAAAGCAAAGTATATAGAAACTAAGCAAGGACATATCATTCTGGCACTGAAGACTGTGCCTTCCCCAAATAACAAGGCAGGAAAAACGGGCTAGTTAACACGGTGCACAGATGTTCCAGAAAAGGAGTAAATGCTTCGGAACAAGGCAAACGAAACTTGGCTTAAACAGGTCAGTCTGCTGATGAGTACATGGAAGGTGTGTTTTATCTGCTAAACTTGCAAGTGCAAAAGAAAAGGAGTCCCTGGACGTCCTTGAACAGGTCTTATCATGATGCTTGGAAGCCCCCGTTCCTGCTGATGTGGGGAACGGAACGTAAACCTGACAGTGAAGGTAATGCTTCCTGTTTAGGGCAGATCCTCTGAGGACCACCTGGCACCGTCTTGGGCTACAGGCCACCACACTCCGCAGCCAGCTTGGATGATGCGAGTGCACTTACAAAATTTAAAAAGAGGCTAAAGAGACACGAGATGGAGCCCACAAACTACTGCTTTCAGCCTCACCTGCACCCTGTCCCCCTGCCCCACGTGGACCACAGCCGACATCGCTATGGGGTTGAACAGATAGAAAACACAGGCAGAGGAGGACACAGGGAGGGGTGGAAGATGCCCTGCAGGGCAATTTGAGAAGTAATCGGCTAACAACACTGAACCTAGAGGCAGCCTCAGGATCTTTCTAAACACCGTGCCCTGGGAGCCACCACCAAACCAGCTGCAGTGGGCACAAGACAGGAACCCTATCTGCTGTTTGAGGAACGGTCAGCAAAGCGTTTTGGGATTAGGCAGGTCTGGGTCCAAGTCAGGCTCCACCCCTTATCACTTGTGGGATCGCTGACAAGACACTTCATCTCTACCTCAGTTTCCTCATCTGTAAAATGGGAATAATAAAACCAGCCCCCTGGTACTATGTAGATTAAACGAGATTACAAATAGAAAGTGCTTTTCAGAACTACTGCATTTAGTAAGCACAACAAAATGGTGCCCATTATTGTACTGGAATTGTTATTTTTCACTTAAATGTTGAGATATATAACTTTTAACATTTAGAAGTTTAGATAGTGTAAGAGACTGGATTAATGCTATGAAACCTTTGCACATTCAAATGCTTTTCCATTTGTCTAGAAAATTCGGAATTTTATATGCTAGATAGTGAAATATAAATGAGAATGATTTGGTCTCAGCAGGGAGGGTATAGCTCAGTGGTAGAGCACATGCTTAGCATGCACAAGGTCCTAGGTTCAATCCCCAGTACTCCATTAAAAAATAATAATAAATTAATTATCTTCTCCCCCAAAACAAAACAAATACTAAAAGAAAAAGAAAGAAAGAAAAAAAAAGCACAGCTGAGAGTGACTTGGTATGATTCAGGTACATTTTAAGGATGAATTTTTTTTAATTTATGTTTTAAAAAATTTTTTGTTTTTTAACGGAGGTCCCCTTGGGGATTGAACCCAGGACCTCATGCATGCTAAGCATGTTCTCTACCACTGAGCTATACCCTCCCTACTAAATATGAACATTTCAAGGTCAGTGCAGTGTGGTACTTTCCCTGAATAAAAAGAATACCTTTTGCATCATGTCTTTTACTGGACACAGAACACGTGCTCAAAAGCACATGACTACTTCACAATACTTGCCTATTATTCACTTTTTCAAGTAATCTAGTCATTCAAAGTTATCCCATACTCTTAGTCTTCACAAAGAAAACTGAATTTTATGCACTCTGAATAATGCTATGAAAAATAATATCACTGATGCTTACCTTCAGGATATCACGAGCCAAAAAAAAAAAAGTACAATTCATCAACCAACACTAAGTTACTTTACCTGCGAAAAAACGCCAGCACGGTTTCGTATGTCGGAATTGTCTGAGTTTTGTTGTTTAGTTGCAAGTAGACCCACAAAAGCAGTGTTTTCAGAAGGTGAAACTCACTAAATGTAAACAACCTGGCCAAAAGAAAAGATTGAGAAGAAATGTCAGGAATAGCAAAACACCACGCTGTGTGTAATGAAAGGGAAAAATTAACAGCGAGTTTGAGAAGGAGGTCACACCACGCCCTGAGTCTGTAGGTGGGCTCAGACAGAGAGACATCAACTTGTTTAAGGTCTTGTTCAAGGTCTTATTCAAGGTCACCAGCTGGTTAATGACTGGGACTTGAACCTCAGCAGCCTGCCGCCCAGCCCAGGGTGTGTTTTCACCCACTGGCTGAGCTGCTGTAAAACAATGGTCATCGCTGAGTGAGCTCTTACTGCGAGACAGGTGTTCTCAAGGCGTTTCCATATGTTCTTTTATTTAATAACGCCCAGCAACCCTGCAAAGTTGGGATATATTCCTTACTTTTATAGATGTGGAAATTGAGATGGATCCTCTGTTTATTTAAAAATATACGTTTTGTTCCTCATGGTTTTTTGCATTAATTTTCATTGTAAAATATTGCACTAAAATATACTTTATCTCCATGACCGAGGTTTCTGGTGGCCTCTGAAATTTTGCACCCAAGGGGAGTGCCTCACTGGTCATATTCTAGTCCCAGCCCCGATTGAAGGCTGAAACGTGAATAACTCATCCAAAGCTACACAATTCTGAGTTCAGACTTGAGTAGGGACTACCCCACACTGGCTGTGGAAACTCCTGCAGGCTGCTGGCCGGCCCTGCAAGCCATGACTCTTTTGTCTGTAAAACAGTGATTAAGGCAGTTGCTCAGAGGACAGTGGTGAGGTCTGTGTGAGGTGACGTGTCGTATGAGCTCCCTATCGTTGCTGTAACAAATTGTCACAAACTGAGTGGCTTAAAACAACACAAATTTATTATCATATAGTTCTGGAAATTGTTACAAAATGGTTCTCACTGGGCTAAGATCAAGGTGTGGGCAGGGCCGTGTTCCTTCCTGAGGCTCTAGGGGAAAATCATTTTCTTGCCTTTTCCAGTTTCTAGAGGCCACTAGCATCCCTGCGCTTGTGGCCCCTTCCTTCATCGTCAAGTCAGCAGCACAGCATCTTCAAATCTCTCTCTGGTTCTGACTCTTCTGCCTCCTTCACCCACGCTGAAGAATCCTGTGTTGACACTGGGACCCCCCAGATAATCTGGGCCCCCCATCTCAGGGTCATCCAATTAGCAACCTTAGCTCCATCTGCAAGCTTAATTCCCCTTTACCGTGCAACCTAACATATTCATGAGTTCTAGGGGTTGGGATGTCTACATCTTTGGGGGACCATTATCGAGCTGACCACACATCCAGATTGCTTAGCACAGTGCCTGGCACACAGCAATGGGCTCAGGGAGCAGCAGCTCCCACTCCTAAGTGGCGGGGCTGGGTCCTGGCTCCAGAGCCCGCATTGTGCCTACAGCGGCCTGAGGCATCTCGTCAAGAAACGAGGGATGAGGAGGAAGGGGTGAGTCAGCTCTGTGAAGGATGCTTCCCAAACAGCTCTTCTAACAGGTGGCTCGGTTGCCTAAGGAGCCATCTCAACACTTCTTAGGCCTGTTGATATTTCCTGTCTCTGACCATGGACGTGCACTCTGGCTTCAAAATACATCATAGCCTCTTCCCCCACCACCTTCGTGGTCATGATGGGTGGAAGCCAAGCTAAATTGTGACTCCAACGGCCAATGAGAGTGTCACCCACCCACCTCTCCTGCTATTTCTGGACAGCGTAGAGCTGTCTCTTTCTCTTAGTTGTTTTTAGGCAGCTACAGATGCGTGGGCTTTGACTCTAGCCAGACAGGGCCAAATTTGTCACCGTCTGGGCAACAATGTAAGGCAAGATGGGAGACGTCACAGAATCACTTGCTACGATGTCCCCACAAAGACCTCTGCCGTGACTTCAACCACCACTAGGCTGGGGAGCCATGTGACCTCTGGTGCAGAATCCATGCTTGAAGCCCCCAAGCCCAAAAGGTTCTTTGAGATCTCACCAAAGAGGGGCTAGCAGCAACACAGGGGAGCAACTGGGATTTCTATGAATCAGGACCCGGGTTTTACAATTTATGATGAAGATTAATTGATGAAATAAATCTTCTGTCTTTAGGCCAAGTACCAGTACCCTAAAGTATTAGTTCTTGCAGGAAGTAACCACGCTGAGGACATTCAAACATATTTTCATTGGCCTAAGAGCTCTAATGACCTTAATCAAGATGGAATTCACACAGATTCTAAACTTCCCTCCAACACAGGTGAACATCTGGGCTGTTTGATCTGTGTTTGCTGGCTAGTAGCCACTGGGATGTAACTGGTGTTTTCGTTTTTTAACAAGACATTTTCCTCTATTTTTTCTTTTGAGAAAAATGTATGTAAATAATAGAAGGTCTCATTTTGAGCACAGACCGTAGAGAAAGCTGTGCCCAAGTGAACAAGAAAATCTGATCAAAGATGCTCTTCGCAACACTGATCATCAGAAAAAAAAATGAAGTAAAACAAAACAAAAGGCCATTAGGAAGGGAATGAAAAAACTGCTCTCTCGTCATTCTTTGGAAGCCTGGACAACGATTACATTTAAAAATTGCGTATTAGGTACATAAATATCAACACGGAGAGAACACGTCGCAAGATGCTAGTGAATAAAGTCAGTTGTAGCAGTGGTTGTACACAGAGCAGTCACAGTCACTACAATCACTGTGAGAAAATGGATGCACAACAGTGGTTTGTTTGTCTTGAGGGAGGGAGGGAGGGAGGCGGAGAGGAAGGACAGGGAATAGGGCTGGTGGGGCAGGGGTAGGGAGACACACAGGTGACTTCTGCTTTATTGGCAATGTTTTCTTAGCTTATGACAAAACGTTACCATCTGTTCATTTGAGGAGGTGGATCCAATTGTGCTTTGCATTACCCTGCCACCTTTGTAAAATTTTTATGATAAAAAATATGACCATCAATATCCTTTTCTTCCCCCTAATAAATTAGGTTTATTTATTTATTTAATTTTTT